TTCCATTCCATTCCCTTCCCTTCCCTTCCATTCCATTCTATTCTATTCTATTCTATTCTATTCTATTCTATTCTATTCTATTCTATATTCCATTCCATTCCATTCCATTCTATTCTATTCTATTCTATATTCCATTCCATTCCATTCCATTCTATTCTATTCTATTCTATTCTATTCTATTCTATTCTATTCTATTCTATTCTATTCTATTCTGGTCTATTCTATTCTATATTCCATTCCATTCCATTCTATTCTATTCTATTTTCTATTCTATTCTATTCTATTCTATTCTATTCTATTCTATTCTATTCTATTCTATTCTATGTTCCATTCCATTCCATTCCATTCTATTCTATTCTATTCTATTCTATTCTATTCTATTCTATTCTATTCTATTCTATTCTATTCTATATTCTATTCTATTCTATTCTATTCTATTCTATTCTATTCTATTCTATTCTATTCTATTCTGGTCTGGTCTGGTCTGGTCTAGTCTAGTCTTTTGCAGCTCAGGATTGAACCGTGGAGTCCTTGATGCTTGGTGGTTTCCCTGCAGACATTTCATTACCCAACTAAGTAACATCATCAGTGTGAGTGTGGGGTTTGCTACCTTTTGTCAACCATCTTGACTTGTTTTAGCCTTTACTGCCCATATGGAATCCTCTTCTGGATTTCCCAGAAGTTGCTGGAAAAGTCAGAAGAGGCTATTGTGCTGTTAGCTCCACCAACATGGCATTCAACATGAAGTGAGATGAGCAGCACATAAATTTAATTAATAAATAAAATAAAACGTCAAGGACAGCAGCCCCAACGGGAACTTTGAACCAGCTCGCATGGAAGTAAAGCACCCCTCTGAAAATTTGCCCAGATCTAATATTCTGTGATTTGCCCCCTTCTCGGGAAATTAACATATTTATTTTCAATGAATACATTTTCATGTATAATACATTTACTTATACCTTTTCGTGCTGCCCATCTCCCCAAAAAGGTAACTCTAAAATTAAATAAATAAATGAGAACTTATTTCCTTTCCATTGAAAGGATAGGTTATAACGGCGCTGCATTTACCAAATCCTTTCCACTCCCCACGGACGTTTTGCAGCCAGCTAAACATGGGCTCATGTAGGTGATACCGTTGTCTCCACAAACTGGATCCCAGTGGCTCTCTTCACAGCTGCAGTCAGAGTTGCAGAGAGATAACGGCTTCTCTTTGAAGGACACTTCTTGGATGCTAAAGGAATAATGATGGAGCCATCAGCAATCCCAAGGGGGAAAGATCCAGATAAATAGATCTATATTGTCAGCCAACATAATGCCATCCATGCATAAGAGGGAAGAACTATGGATTGCAGAAGGATAACAACCTTGGAAAATAGCCCAATGCAAGAAGGAGGGATCCCAAAACAGAACAATAAGACTGAATTCTCCCAGAAAGAACACTCTTGAATCTGTTGGATTGGTGATTTTTTTTCCTCTCCTAATGCTGTGTTTTAATTTACTTTGTACTTTTTTTATGGGAAAATCATCCCAGGGAAATCCCAGGGAAATCCTAGTGTGTAGTGGGGTGCCCCGGGGCTCTGTTCTGGGCCCAGTGCTCTTCAATGTCTTCATCAATGATTTGGATGAGAGGATAGATGGGGAACTCATCAAATTTGCAGACAACACCAAGCTGGCAGGAATAGCCAACACTCCAGAAGACAGGCTTAAGATACAGAAGGGCTCTATCTAACAAAATGAAATTCAATGGTGAAAAAAGTAAAGTTCTACATTTAGGCAAGAAAAAACAAATGCACAAGTATAGTATAGGTCAGGGGTAAGCAACCCAAAACACTCAAAGAGCCACTTGGACCCGTTTCCCACTGAAAACAAAACACTGGCAGCTGCAAAACTCTTTTGATATCTAAAATGAAGATAACACTGCATATATCCTTTTTTACCTTTATTATAGGTGTGTGTGTGTGTGTGTGTGTGTGTATACATACATACATACATACATACATACAATAAAGGTAAAAAAGGATATATGCAGTGTTATCTTTGAATCATTGCTAAATGACCGGTTATAAGTCAAGGACTATTTGCAGTTTATTGTTAGAGATGCGGGCGAGCATTTGCTCAAAATATTGCTATTTTCTGATTCTCATCTGGTCATCATTCTGAAGCTCCTGGATAGGAAAAATAAAGAATTCCTAATTGGAAGAATTTCCACTGGGTCTTTTCCAAATTGGAAAGTGTGAGCAACTAGAGAGATTTCAGAAGGATGGACGTCTGGGAAGCCACTATACCAGGGGTCTTCAAACTTGGTCCTTTTATGGCTTGTGGACTTCAACTCCCAGAATTCCTCAGACCCTTGACCTCACCTTGTGACCTGCTGTCCACAATGGACAATAAGGCAGTAAGGTCTAGACCAGGGGTAGGCAACCTTGGCTCTTTTATGACTCGTGGACTTCAACTCCCAGAATTACTGAGTCAGCCATGCTGAGGGGAAAGGGAGAGGTTTCCAAGCTGAGCCATGCCGGCTCAGAAATTCTAGGAGTTGAAGTTCACGAGTCATAAAAGAGCCAAGGTTGCCTACCCCTGATCTAGACAGAGATCTAAGATCTATTCTGTGTCTTTTCTTCATTTAATCCTCTGCATGCTTTTTGCTTATCTCAGCTCTTTTTTTCCCCATGTGTAGATCATGCCCTTTGGGGCTCTCTTCCCCATGGGCTTTTGGGCACTGGGTAGAGGAAGGCACAGTGAAAGGCAGGCCTGTCACACACAACACATTACTACAAAAAAGAAGTTGAGATACTGCAAAAAAGACGTTGAGACTTTGGGGAAAAAAATCAGAGAAGAACAACTAAGATGATCCAAGACCTGGAGACTAAAACATATGAAGAACGGCTGCGGGACTTGGGTTTGGCCAGTCTAAAGAAAAGAAGAAATAGGGGAGACATGATAGCAGTATTCCAGTATCTGAGGGGCTGCCACAAGGCAGAGGGGGCCAGGTTGTTCACCAAAGCACCAGAGGGAAGGACGAGAAACAATGGTTGGAAACTGATCAAAGAGAGAAGCAACCTGGAATTAAGGAGAAACTTCCTAACAGTGAGGACAATTAAGCAGTGGAACAACCTGCCTCCAGACATCGTGGGCACTCCATCACTGGAGGCTTTCAAGAAGATACTGTAACTAGACAATCACTTGTAAGAAATGGTATAGGTTCTCCTGCTTGAGCAACGGGCTGGACTAGAAGACCTCCATGGTCCCTTCCAACTCTATTCTATTTTATTGATCTTTTTGTAAAGAAATAATTACAAGAACTTTCCATTCCCACAATGAGAATTACAAGATGAGATCTTCTCATCTCCTTTGAAAGAAATGCCCCAAGGCTACTTTTGATGGAAATCAAAGTAAGTGAGAAGGAAGGGAAAAAATGTAGAACTTTTCTGCCCGGTACCCTTCTGAGCGAGAGCAATGTATTCAGAATACACTACACGCATTCTAAAACATGCATTATAAAACATGCATTAGCTGCAACTTCCTCCCATCACCCCCAACGATGAACAAGAAGACAAACCCAGAATAGTTGACAGTCAAACCAGCCACTTTAGGCACTTGGCAACTGGCGGCGAAGTAAAACAGGTTTAACAGGAAGGCTGTCACAAAGGTGATGCAGGCAAACTTCGCCATGGCTGCAATTTGCAGTTTGAACCTCTTGATGATGAAACCTCCCAGGAACATCCCCACAATGGTAATAGGTAAGACAATCACACCTGCAAAGGAAAGGGAGCGGTGACATCATCTCACCCGTCACTGAACACAAAACACATTTCCTTCTTCAGAATAACAGTTACCATAACCCACTGCCAGGAGTACCGGTAGCCCTGAACTTACAACCATTTGTTTAGTGAGCATTCAAAGTTACTACGGCACTGAAAGAGTGAACTTACGAACATTTTTCACACCTATGACCACTGCAGCATCCCCATAGGAGCATGATCAAAATTTGCTGGGCAACGGGCATGCATTTATGACCATTGCCATGTCTCGGGGGGGGGGGGGTGTCACGTGATCCCCTTTTTGCGACCTTCTGACGAGCAAAGTCAATGGGGAAGCCAGAGTCACTTAACAACGGTGTTACTAACTTAACAACTGCGGGGATTCATTTAACAACTATGGCAAGGAGGGTCGTAGAATGGGTCAAAACTCACTTAGCAACTGTCTCGCTTAGCGAGGGAAATGTTGGGCTCAGTTGTGGTTGTAAATTGAGAACTACCCGTAGTAGTAACAATATGCCTCATTTTCTCATTACAAAGAAAAGGATGTCTACAGAAGCCACCCAACCCATACACCAGTGGTGGCGAACCTATGGCACGCATGCCAGAGGCAGCACCCAGAGCCCTCTCTGTGGGCACGTGCACTGTTGCCCCAGCCCCGCCTCCTCCCACAGCCCCTTCCTCACCAGCAACCCCCCCGGAGAAGAGTCATCCCTGGGCACGGCATGCACAGAGCAACACAGCCAAGCACATGGCAGCCGGGCAGCAGGGACAAGACTCCGCCCTCGCGCCCTGTCGCACACAAATGAGGCTGCGGGGCGCAGGCGGAGGGCGTGGCCACTATGGCACTGCAGGGCTGCTGGGCGATCTGCTGCAGCAGGCTGTGGAGGTGGTGGATGACTCTGCGGGTGGACAGGGTGGTGGCGGAGTGGGGGCAAAGCGGGAGTGGGGCAGGGGGCAGGACAGGGGGCAGGGCGGGTTTTGGGCACTTGGTCTCTAAAAGTTTCGCCATCACTGCCATATACCATGTGTGCCTGCTTAATCTCATGGAATGTCTATTAGTTTGGTGTAGTGGCTAAGACACTAAATTAAAAATTGAGAGACTATGAGTTCTAGTCCCAACTTAGCCATGAAAGCCAGCAGGGTGACTTTGGGCTAAACACCAGGAGACGGTGAGTTCTAGTTCCACCTTAGGCATGAAAACTGGCCAGGTGACTTTGGGCCAATTACCAGGAGACTGTGAATTCTAGTCCTGCCTTACCTATGAAAGCCAGCTGGGATCTTTGGGTCCATCACTACCTCACAGCATTGTTGTTGTTGTTGTTGTTATGGAGAAAATAGGAGGAAGGAGGTGTATGGATAACAAATGGAAAAGCTTCACCTACCAATAAGAAAGATGGCTCTTGAAACAGCAATGTTGAACTGCTGCTCCATAAACTTGGATTCAAAGGTTATCGTGCCAACCAGAGAATTGTACTGGAAGATTGTAAGGAGCAAGTAGATCAGGAAGATGGGGTTTCCAAACAGCTTTTTCAAAGTAGGAAAGAAATCTGGAATAGCAAAAGGAAATAAAATAAAAGTCTAACCAAATTTACTATTGGGTCTCTTTCGTCCTGAGACTATTTTTTTGTTTTTGTTCAAAATTGTAATTAAAAAAATATGATTTTACAAGTCATTTAATAAGTTGTTAATTAACATGATTGGAATAAAATCATCACAAGGGTTAAGATTTATTGACATGACCTAATCCGAAAGGACTTTGTTGTTAGTTGCGAAGTCGTGTCCAACCCATCGCGACCCCATGGACAACGTTCCTTCAGGCCTTCCTTTTCCTCTACCATCTTCTGGAGTCCATTGAAGCTCATGCCTACTGCTTCAGTGACTCCATCCAGCCACCTCGTTCTCTGTCGTCCCCTTCTTCTATTGCCCTCCATCTTTCCCAGCATTAGACTCTTCTCCAGTGAGTCCTTCCTTCTCATTAGGTGGCCAAAGTACTTGAGTTTCAACTTCAGGATCTGGCCTTCTAAAGAGCAGTCAGGGTTGATCTCCTCTAGGACTGACTGGTTTGATTGCCTTGCAGTCCAGGGGACTAATGGGATATTATAGCTGCAGCAAGACCAGCAGCAGAGTCAAGGTGACACTCTGAGAATTGTTCTCAAAATACTAATCAGAAAGAGATCCCTTCCAAAACATACAGCTTTCAAAACCTGAAACCTATAGGTATGAGATCTACTTGTATGCTTCTTTTTCTAACCATCTATAGAAATCTCTTCAGCTAACTAGGAATTTTGGGATCAACAAGTTTTACAGCACCAATTGAGTTTCCTTCAATCTTTAGAGAAAGGAGCTTTAATACAAGTTTAAGGACTTAAAAACTTCTTTTGCAGCAAAAGCATGATTAGGAACTTTGATTTTGGTATTGTTTTGAATTCTCTTTTTAAAAAAAAAAAAAAAAAAAAAAAGATAGGTTGAGACATTTTAGGCCAGACACTAGAAGAACCAGAAGAATGAAAAATTACAATTAAAGGAGAAGGACAGTTAAATTTCACTTACTAATACAGAATGCAGCAAAGTGTTTTAATATTGGATATATTGAAGGTTATTTGTGAAGAGTGGAACATAAATTAATTTTAAGAAAGCCTGTCACTATAGATCAGGGGTAGGCAACCTTGGCTCTTTTATGACTCGTGGACTTCAACTCCCCGAATTCCTGAGCCAGCCACGCTGAGGGAAAAGGGAAAGGTTTCCAAGCTGAGCCATGCTGGCTCAGGAATTCTGGAGTTGTAGTCCACGAGTCATAAAAGAGCCAAGGTTGCCTACCCCTGCTATAGATACAGCGTTTAAAAGAAGAGGAACCCATTGTACAGAACAAGACAGACTGATCCAAAAGTGTATTTAAAAATGACAGGCTACAAGAATGATATGGAAATAGATGCAAGACTGGATATACAATTGAAACCATCTGATGTCTTAATAATAAAAAAGGATATACAAAAAACAAACCATAGGAGTGACCTGGATAACTTTTAGGCATTGGATTTAATTTGGAAATTTTGCATTTACAAAAAAAACCCTTGTTAAAGCTTTGAAGAATTTTGTGAGAAGGGACAAATACATTTTTAAAAAAACCATCTAGGACATTATTTGAAGGGGATTAAAGACAATATTGTTAAAAGTAAAAGGGAGGAATATAAAGTTGGTTTATTTGATCAAGGTTAAAATAGCTAAGCTGTTATTTCTGCTAATTCTTAATGGATTTTGCTGATTAGGACTGAATGGCAGGAGTTTAAGGATTTGTTTATAGATGAGAGCTGGATATGGGAAGAAGATACCATTTGTTGTATTTTAAAAGAAGGTGATAAATTACTAAAATGGTTTATACTTGTGATGAAGATGGAAGTCATTATATAAAGAAATATATAATTTCTTTTTTTTCTTGATTACCATATGTTCTTATTTTTTGTCTACTTTTCTATTTTTTCTTTCCTGCACTTTCTTTTTTTCTCTTTCCATTTGGTTGTATTAGTTTTTCTCTTTTAATTGTAATTTTTAATAAAACTATATTTAAAAACTGAACATGTTTCCACTCTAAGAAGTGACTCTGGAAATTGAGTAAAATATTGCAGAACACAGGTTTGGCTCAGGACGAGTTGCAAAGCTCAGAATTAGCTACTTGTGAAGAGGTCATTCAATCACCTTTCGCCACTTCCGAAACCTTCATCTTTGGGTGGCCGGGAGCTTCCATTTTGTTCTGGCTGACTTGAGTGATTACATAAACTTCAGTTGACTTCTTAACAACTTGTTCTCCTTCTTGTGGCAAAGAGTAAGGCAGGAACCAGAAAGGAAAAGATGACATAAAACTGGTGGCACCACAGATCAACGTCCCAAGCCACCAAGCACCGACCCAACGTGTGTCTTTGGAATTGATGGTCAGTGTATCTAGGAGAAAAGAAAAAAAAACTTGCATATGAAAGTTACTTATTACATTTTCTATTAAGTATATCCCTCGGGTTCACCAGGACTTAACATTAGTGGTGGTCACATGGCATGTTGAATCTTAAACTTGGTTTAACAACAAACAATTCAGTTCCATTTGCACAGCACCCTATCAGCTCCTCTAAATTTGAGGTCGCTCCATTATCATAAGCAAAGGTTATGTAGTTTTAATTTTGGCTTATTTTTTTTGCCCCTCAGCATGTGCATAACTTGGCCTCTTGCTTAGGTTATCATTCCATTGATTAGGCAAGCCCAGAAAGTGGATTCTTCCAGTAACCAGGTTAAGTAAGTTGTGGATGGTTGTTTTTTTTTTCTTCTATTCAATTGTGTCTGATTCTTGCCGATGGCCTTGTGGTTTTCTTTGTAAGGTTTTTCAGAAGTGGTTTGCCATTACCTCCTTCTCAGGGCTGAGACAGAGTGACTGGCTCAAGGTCATCCAACTGGCTTTGTAGGTGAGGCTAGAAGTCACCATCTCCCTATTTCTAGTCTGATGCCTTAACCACTACACCACACTCACTTTCTGTGGACTAGTCACTTGTAAAAGAAACAACTATATGATGGCTTCATTCAATAGCCTCATTCACACTCAGTGCTAAGGCAATAGCTGGGTTTCCACAACATATTAAATTGCAAGGAAGCAAGCAAGCTTATTTTAGCCTAGTCTAGCTTGTTGTAATCAAGTCATTAGGGAAGGATCTCAAAGACCTACAACAGGGGTCTCCAAACTTGGCAACTTGAAGACTTGTGGACTTCAACTCCCAGAATTCCTCAGCCAGCCATACTGGCTGAGGAATTCTGGGAGTTGAAGTCCACAAGTCTTCAAGTTGCCAGGTTTGAAAACCCCTGCTCTACAATGTGGTCCAAATATTCATTAGTGGTTCTTTTCTTATATCATTCTCTCCTTCCTATACTTATTTAGTCACAAAATAGAAAACTTAAAAACTCAGATTTGTGGGAAAATGGGAAGAGGATGTCAGCTATTCCCAAATGTCTGTTAAATCCCAAAGCATGCTGTTTGATATCATTTGTGTAATGAAATAAATTGATATCATTTGTGTAATGAAATAAAATTGGCACAAAGGACTAATTTGCACCCTCTCATAAAATTAATGTAAAATCAATGCATAGCCTTTTCCAAACTTATGTCAGAAACAATGGATCTGCATTCCTTTGGAGTAATTTCTGGACAGTAATGTTGTCCAACACATCTGAAGTTTGCTAAATGGGACTTCATTAAATCAACGTTTTAAGGTCTGACTAGCAAAAGTCTACCCAACAAAAAGACACACCTGGCTAAGAAGAAACATTGGCTAGGATACTTGTTCCTTACCTGGGTTTACTGCTCCAATGTCAACCCACAAACCAGCACAAAATGCTCCAAGCAGAAAGCCAAGAGATGGTCCAAACATCGCTGTAGACCGCACAATTCCTATGAAAAATAAGTTAACCTAAGTACAGGAACACCTGCAGAACAAGACTTCAAAACAGGTGAGGAATGAGGTCTACAGCAGGTGGCAGCATCAAACCAACTTGGACTGCACACAAAGCTAAGGTGAGGTGAAATTTGGTTAGTACTTGAAGATTACCAGAAAATCCCAGAATTGTACGGTAGACTGGGAAGATCTATCATCTTTCCCTCCCTCCTTCCTTCCCTCCCTCTAGCCGGCCGGCCGGCCATCCATCCATCCATCCATCCATCCATCCATCCATCCATCCATCCATCCATCCATCCATTTATCCATCCAGGGTTGGCAATAGTAATGGCAATAGCAAATTACTTCCATATTATTGCTAAAAAAATAGGCAGGTGTTATTACCTGTAAGGTTGGAAGGATGCATAATTCTATCTGTAAGAGAAGGACTGACAGAGCCAAGAGAGGAGTTAAAAGAGGCATCAGTTTGGAATTGTTACCTAGCCACAAGAGAACTAAGCCCAACTCCTCTTGACCAGAGGTCCCCAACCTTTTGGACACCAGGGACCGGTTCCGTGGAGAGAGGTTTTTCCGCGTGGTTTTGTGTGCTGTTTGCATCCCACGGATGGGGCTTTGCTTGTTTGCACGGCCCGGTTACTGGCATGCCGCGGCCCGGTACCGATCCATGGACCGGAGGTTGGGGACCCCTGTTCTTGACCACTGCTGACCCTTATCTAGTTCTAACCAGGTGCTAAACATTAGTCTGAGAAAATTCCAGGGCTTAGGCTTTAACAATAAATTGGTGATCTGGAAGATCTGTGTGTGTACCTGGTATTTCACACCCGACATTATCTGCATTTTGAAAAATGTGGATGATGGTAATTGCATGTGGGATGACCTTGGGATATAGGGAAAGAGACACAGATTGGGGAGGGGGGACCCACAGCTTTATAAGGGGTAAAGAAAGACAGGAAGGATCCTTCCTAACCTATCAGGCTTTTAAAAGATACGGTGGGGGATATGTACTTTCAAAAGACTTGCAAGATTTTGTTAATGTAAGCCTACAGCAAAGCAGGATTATGTCACAACTACGCCACTACTACTAGACTAATGATTGTTTCTCCCAAATTTCTTTCCAAAATATCCTCTGCTCTCACTCTCCAAAACCTGGCAAAATGCATTTTCGGTGCCAGCAAGAAAAATGGGGTTAGTGTCTCAGAACTAATTTACTGACCATCTGTTGAATTTCTACAGATGGTTTTTAATGCAGACTTACTGAAGAATCCTTGCGATGAAATAGTTTGAACCTACTAAAGGCAAGAATTGAGCTCTCCACCTTCTCCCCACCACCCCGGTGCCTTCCAACTAGGCTGGAATTGTGTCTCCCAGAATTCCCAGTCAATGCAGTCATTGGACAGAGTTGAATTCTGGGAGTTGAAGTCTGAGGGCTGTGATAGCTACAACTTTGGTCCCACCTCAGCTGCAATACTCAAATCAGGAGAGAAAGAATGACCGTCTTTATCTTACCTATATAAAAGGCAGAGTTTTCTTCTGTGGCAAAATCATCAATGTATGACATCCCCAAAGGCATGATAGGTGCTTCCCCAATTCCACGTAGAAGGTTCCCAGCAAACACAAAGACCCACAAATAGGAACTAGCCATTTTTTCACATCCTGAAAGCAAAAGAAGCCCCAAGAGGTTGTGAGGTCCACAACTTGATCCAAAGTAAATCCTTGACTTATGAAGACAGTTGGGACCAGAATTTCCATTGCTAAGACAGGCAGTTGTTAAGTGACCAGCATCCGATTTTACAACCTTTTTTTTAACCACAGTTGTTCAGTGAACCACTGCAGTTGCTAAGTGAATCACATGGTCGTTAAGTGAATCCAACCTCCCCCGTTGATTTTGCATGTTGGAAACCAGCCTGGAAGGGTTGCAAATGGTAATCCCCATGATCCTGGGACATTACAACCATTGTAAATACACACTGGTTGCCAAGCGCATGAACTTTGACCGTATGACTGTGAGGATGCCACGATGGTCATAAGTGTGAGAATCGGTGGTGAACCACTTTTTTTTCAGTACTGTTGTAACTTTAAACGGCCATTAAATGAATGGTTGTAAGTCAAGGATTACCTGTAGCAAGGGTTTGGCTTCACCTATTCCAAACCTTGCAAGCCAACGACATGATAGCAGAGTTCCAATATCTCAGGGGCTGCCCCAAAGAAGAGGGAGTCAAGCTATTCTCCAAAGCACCTGAAGGCAGGACAAGAAGCAACGGATGGAAACTAATCAAGGAGAGAAGCAACCTAGAACTAAGGAGGAATTTCCTGACAGTCAGAACAATTAACCAGTGGAACAACCTGCCTCCAGAAGCGGTGAATGCTCCAACACTGGAAGTTTTTAAGAAGAGACTGGACAGACATTTGTCTGAAATAGTATAGGGTTTCCTGCCTGAGCAGGGGGTTGGACTAGATGACCTCCAAGGTCCCTTCCAACTATTCTATTCTATTCTATTCTATTCTATTTTATTCTATTCTTCTAGCAAATGTAATAACCATTGCAAAAGCAAGGTCTTAGACCTGAGATAATTTTGATGGATGGCAGGAGAGACGCTTCCTCACAAGTCCTCAGTAAGTACCATCTCCTCTCTCTCCCCCCCCTCCAATAATAGGCACAAGTAACTCTGGGGGAGAATAACAGAATAACAACATTGGAAGGGACCTTGGAGGTCTTCTAGTCCAACCCCCTGCTCAGGCAGGAAACCCTATACCATTTCAAACAAATGGTTGTCCAATCTCTTCTTAAAAACTTCCAGTGTTGGCGCATTCACTGCTTCTGGAGGCAGGTTGTTCCACTGGTTAATTGTTCTGTCAGGAAGTTTCTCCTTAGTTCTAGGTTGCTTCTCTCCTTGATTAATTTCCATCCGTTGCTTCTTGTCCTGCCCTCAGGTGCTTTGGAGAATAGCTTGACTCCCTCTTCTTTGGGGCAGCCCCTGAGATATTGGAAGACTGCTATCATGTCCCCCCTCGTCCTTCTCTTCATTAAACTAGACATACCCAGTTTCTGCAACCGTTCTTCATATGTTTTAGCTTCATCTATTTTAGAAGAGTGGCACTAATTTCTCTCAAGAGACAAATAATTAACATCACCTGCTTGCTTCATTTCAAGAAACCTATCAAGTCCAATATAGCTTCTGAGGCTTTTCCAGCTTATGTCCTTAAACCTAGGAGTGTTTGTTACATATCTTGAGTTTTTAATGAGCCCACTCTAAACAAGGAAGTTTACTTAGATTGTAAGGGCAAAAAACCCCAATCAAACTGGAAAATCGTGGGATGAATTGGGAGACAAACAAGGACAATTCATAAATCATTTTAAAGAGTACATTTATGGTGTAACGAATCTAAAAAGTGATATCATTTTTCCAGTCTTGATTGTGGATGCTTAACGAGTGCCCAGAAGTGGGGAACTATGATCCCTTTATGACTCGTGGACTTCAACTCCCAGAATTCCTGAGCCAGCCATGCTGAGGGGAAAGGGAAAGGTTTCCAAGCTGAGCCATGCTGGCTCAGGAATTCTGGGAGTTGAAGTCCTATAGTTCCCCACCCCTGATAAATGAAGCAAGGTTCCCTCCCCACAGACACACACAAAGGCCCAAGGTCACTGGAAACTTTTTACTTACCAACTGCAGTTGTGTTGTGGGAACTTTCGGCAACAGTGTAGTCATGGGGAGAGGCTGAGGCACAGGCTGAAACACTTGTGGACGAATTGGCCAAGGAAACAGCGATACTTTTGTAATTGTAACTGCAGAACAAAAGCCAGGGTTATGGGACTGGAAAGTTAAGCCTTTCCTTGCATCATTATTTGAGAAAGATAATCTCTGCATGGGTCTAATTGATGGTTGTGTGGATACGTGGTTTGGGTTGAGTGCGCGTGCCAAACCCAGGAAAATCAAACATAATGACTGTGCTCATGTAACATGTCCAAACAGATTTCTAATATAAAAAGTATTTTGTTTTGAGGTTCCCCTAGGTCCTACTCTACATACTATGTGGAGCTTCCTCCTACGTTATTTTCTCAGGATCCTTGTAAGGAGCAACAATATCAAATGAATTAAATTATGTGGTTTAGGTGTGTATGTGAATGAAGATTTAATGCAGAGACTGCTCCTGATCCAAGATTCTACCCACTCAGCACACTGTCTACAAAATTGTTACATATATAGGTAGTCCTTGACTTACAGCAGTTCATTTAATGACCGTTCGAAGTTACAACGACACTGAAAAAATGTGACTTATAGCCATTTTGCATAGTTACGACCTTTTGCAGCATCCCCGTGGTCACGTGATCAGAATTCAGATGCTTGGCAACTGGTTTACACGTGTGACCTTTGCTGTGTACCAGGTTTGTATGATCACCTTTTGCAACCATCTGACAGGCAAAGTCAATGGGGAAGTCAAATTCACTTAACAACCAGGTTACTAACTTATCATCTGCAGTGATTCACTTCACAAATGTCTCACTTAGCGACATAAATTTGGGGCTCAATTGTGGTCATAAATTGAGGACTACCTGTATTTACACAACGGTTAACTATACCTTAAAAATTTAATGGTTGCAAGGTTACTTTCAAATGTAGGTATGGGTCTGTGTATGCATGTGTCAGAATCTTCTAGAAACCCACTTCATTAGCTCAGTCCATGATCAGCAGCATCCATGGAGGTGGGGGAGGGAGTTAAAATTGTCAAAATGGCAGACTGGGCATCATGGTGGAAGCCCCCAACATATACACTGATATTGTACACATCTTCAAAAGAAGTTGGGCTTGCAGACAAACACACCTTCCAAGGGCACCAGACTTTATGATCCAGCGGATTACATAAAATCAAAAAAATTATATAATTCACAGACTAGGTCAAGTGTTTTTCCCAGTCTTCATATAATGTTACTCAATAATATCCATCCATCCAGTCATCTATCTAAAGACAGCCACGGTGTGGGACCCTAGTCTCAAGTTTGAGTTGAGATCCCCTCAAACCAGTTTTTGCCTTCTCCACATGGGCTCCTGGGAGCCTCTCTATTAGACAGAAATAAATAAAGATATGAAAGAAGAGTGAATGAGTTAAGGAAAGGGGCAGAACAAGAACTTCATGCCTAGGAGGGGTTGATGAGATCATCACAAAGGGAGAGGTGAGAAGTTTAGAGAATCATAGGTACTCCGTTTTGGACATTTCGTGGATAGTGTTGTGTGTTTTCCCAGCTTCGTATAGGCTTCTCAGATTCCACGTACCAATTCGTAGTTTTGGGTTTATCATGCTTCTAGCAGACTGGGAGATTCTTAGCACCCTTGCCCCATTTAAGGGGTGCCCTACTCAGGGCCATTGTTAGGTTTGCCACCATTAACGTGATTTTCCTGGGAAATGTATAGTGTAGTAATCTTCCCTTTGCTTTCTACACCGTTGTGCAAGTGGCTGCCACCACACCATGTGCTGTTCTTCTGAAGCCGTTCCAACCAATATGGTCTCCGCCTTCAGTCGATACTGGGCAGCCAGCTGGCGAAATCTAAGGGACTGGTTTGGACAAAACTCAGCAGCACTTTTTCGTGTGGCTGCTGATAAAAACAGGATCGACAACATGATCGCCAACATCCGATAATGGATATGGCAGAAGAAGAAGAAGAAGAAGAAGAAGAAGAAGAAGAAGAAGAAGAAGAAGAAGAAGAAGAAGAAGAAGAAGAAGAAGAAGAAGAAGAAGAAGAAGAAGGAGAAGGAGAANAAGAAGAAGAAGAAGAAGAAGAAGAAGAAGAAGAAGAAGAAGAAGAAGAAGAAGAAGAAGAAGAAGAAGAAGAAGAAGAAGAAGAAGAAGAGGAGGAGGAGGAGGAGGAGGAGGAGGAGGAGGAGGAGGTGGTACTCCATGAAGTAGTGTGTGCCTATAAGGAAAGAGATGATGGTTTCCCAGGGTAGAAAGACATAGAGACATATTGTATAGTGAATGTTGTTGGTGTAACTTGCATGTTACTTAATGAGCTGAAAAGGATTTCTCTTAATTCCTATCCTTCATTTCCTGTGCTTATGATTTCTTAGTCCTTGCTTTGCTGTGCAGAACACAGCTTACCTGAAAGTAGTGAATAAGTATTTATCTATTTATATCCTGCCTTTATTATTTTTACAAATAACTCCATGCAGTGAGCGTATTCAACATACCTTCCTCCTCCTATTTTCCCCACAACAACCCTGTGAGGTGGATTGAACTGAGAGAGAGAGAGGGACTGGCCCAAAGTAACCCGGCTGGTTTTCTTGGTGAAGGGGGGACTTGAACTCATGGTCTCCCACTCTCTAGCCTAGTGGCTTAACCTGTAGACCACTGGAGAACAATGGAAGTTATGAGATATGCCTCAGTATGGCTAGATTCATACCATCCATTTAATTTCAGTACTGGATTTACCTATTTCCTGGCTCCTAACATATTATAACTCTATTCATAATATAACAAGTCCATTAAAGATTTATTAAAAATCTAGAAACCTGATTGGTTCTAACACTGGCTAGTCCTTGATTAGGCCTTGTGCATATTTTACCGTTTTGTCCAAATCCTGCCCTGTTTACTTTCTGATGAACTGAATTTTGCAAAACAAGAAAGTGAGTTATTCCAGGAACCACACACAAACCACATGCTGTCTTTAATTAGAAAGTAACCTAACCGTCCGGATCCGTACAACAAGTCACACCTCAATTCACCTAAAAGAGAAAGAAGCAACAAAAACGAAAAACCCACTGTTCCTCAGATTGACTCAGGTGACCTGACTGTAGCTTTTGAGGTAGAACGAGATTTTTTTTTTTGCAAGTCAAACAAACTGTACTTACTGTCCCATGATAAAGTGTGGCATCGCTGACAGGAAGGATCCAAAGGCCATAATTAGAGAACCTGTTGCAATCACTTTGGGGCGGTGAACTCTTGGTCCAAGATAACTCACCAGAACCATGATCAGTAAGTTTCCTAAAATCAGAAGAAGAGACGTGAACAGCCCTCTCAGGGAAAGAAAGACCTGCGATAGTGGCGAATAACTGTCGCTTGGATGTAGGATAAGGGTGAAGGTTTGTTCTCCAAGCTTGTGGGGCAGGTTTCTGAATGTTTCATTACCAGGCTAGGTAACACCTTCAGTATTTAGGGCAGGGGCCTTCAAACTTGGCCCTTTTATGACTTGTGGACTTCAACTCCCAGAATTCCTCAGCCAGCGTGCCTGGCTGAGGAATTCTGGGAGTTGAAGTCCACAAGTCATAAAAGGGCTAAGTTTGAAGACCCCTGATTTAGGGGATGTCTTGTCAGTGCTCTTCTGTTTATGAAGGCTTCAGGTGTGGGTGTGTTAAGTGATGGTCTTGTGATGGGACAGGTGTGAGTCTTCAGTGAGAGGCTGGTGATGGGTCTTGTGATGGGGAGGTTACATCCGGTCAGGGTCATTGGGAGGTGAACCGCTGTGGTGTTAGGGGGAGGAGACTCGCATGGGTTGGTTGAGCGTTGGTGTGTGGTTGATTTGGATTCTGAGGGGTTTGTACGCTGGTTGTAGGTCAATGTGTTTGTTGATGAATTGCTTGTGGATGCCAGAAGGAAGGCCTTCTCTGGCCAACCTGTAACTTCAGCACCCCAGCACGAGTCAACCTACCTATCTCAAAGCTCCCGTCAATCAAGCCAACCACCGACGACGAGATCTCAAATCTCCGCTCAATCTGAGTCATCATGCTCTTCATGTAGCTTCCTGAAAAAGTTTTGGCAAAAAAAGAAAACGCCAGCGCTCCAAGAAATATCTAAGATGAAAACAGAGATTCAAACAGTGAGCTGGCAAAGGAGCTGTTGCTAGAAAGTTGCTAGAGGTATCTCACATTTCTAACGCCATAGAGAGCATTTTTACTATCCAGTCAAAGGCCCACGGGCAAGCGAAATGCCCATGGTAAAAATTAAAAATTGAAAAATAAAACAATAAAATAAACAATGTGCATGATCAGTCTTCAAAGGAAAAGAGCACCAAAGAGCTTTAAGTTGTTTGCAGAACATAGTTAGGGTGGACACAACCTAATTTCCACCAGGGGGCTGTTCCAAAAACCTCCCACCACGAAGGGCTTCCTGGCCTCGCATCCCCCACTCCTCCCCAAAGTGGGAAACTACAAAGACCTTTTCCTAGAACCATCATATAGGTTGGACTGATATTACAGATAGTCCTCAACGTACGACCACAACTGACTCCATAATTATGCTTCTAAGTCATGACAGCCATGAAGCAGGACACCACGTGACTATGCCTGATCTTACAACCTTTTTTTTGGTGGCAATCATTAAGTGAACACAGGGATCATAAAGCAAACGCAGTGCTCCTAAAGCAAAGACCACAGTCGTTAAGTGAATCCCCTGTCCAGAATGGGTGTTTAAATGCCCGTTTCCAGCGAAATATGTTATAAATCACAGTCACGTTGCATGGATTCTGCAAAAGGCTGTAAAACGTGGACCCTCACCCAAAATCCAATTACATGATTGTATGGGAGGAGCTTGGAACTTATCAGTTATTAACAGTTATTCAGTTATTAAACTGAACTTATGTCCAGTTTAATAAAGAGAAGGACGAGGGGGGACATGATAGCAGTGTTCCAATATCTCAGGGGTTGCCACAAAAAAGAGGGAGTCAAGCTATTCTCCAAAGCGCCTGAAGGCAGGACAAGAAGCAATGGATGGAAACTAATCAAGGAGAGAAGCAATCTAGAACTAAGGAGAAACTTCCTGACAGTTAGAACAATTAACCAGTGGAACAACCTGCCTCTAGAAGCAGTGAATGCTCCAACACTAGAAGTTTTTAAGAAGAGACTGCACAGCCATTTGTCTGAAATGGTGTAGGGTTCCTGCCTGGGCAGGGGGTTGGACTCGATGACCTCCAAGGTCCCTTCCAACTTTATTATTATTATTATTATTATTATTATTATTATTATTATTATTATTATTATTATTATTATTATTATTGTTGTTGTTGTTGTTGTTGTTGTTGTTGTTGTTATTATTATTATTATTATTATTATTATTATTATTATTATTATTATTATTATTATTAACATTGGCAAGTTAGTTTGAAAAACTACTACCAGGCTTTTGACTGTAGATTTTACCCTGTGTTTTTTTTAAGCGTGAATCGTACACATATTTTTCAACTCCCCAAAGAAAGCAGCAGAGCTATTGTGTCATGTGTCTGACTAATGAAACACTTCAAAGAATTTTCAGGCATGGTTTAACCAAAAAAACCCTTTATTAGCAGAGACGTGTCAGCACGGCATGATGGATGCCAAGATCTGAATTTCCCTTCCCTTTGCACATAACATTCCAGGCATTTCCCCTCCCCTATTTTGGGGTCATGATTCACATCTTCCAATTAACTTGGAGGGCAAAGATTCACTTCCGTTCTCTTCCCGCGCAGTCCTATCTTTCTCCTCCTCCCCACCATCATCTGAATTAACTCTAAAAATACCAGACAGTTCTGCATATTTTGTCAAAGCAAGAATATACAATATTAGCAGCGTTGACATCTTGCTTTTAGCTTTGAAACAGAAAGGGCGTAGCCCTCACTGGATGTGACCTGAGGATTTATTGCAGAGAAAAGAGTGAAAGGAAGCTATTTAATTTCAGAATAGAAAGAGGCGCACCTTTTGTGGGATGCGGCTCAGGGATTCTTTGAAGAGAAAATTAGAGGGAAGGTGGAGGAGAGCTATTACCTTTAACTTGGAAAGAGAGAGAGATGCAACCTTCGTAGGATGTGATCCAAAGGTTTTATCCAGGACGAATGGATTCTCTTTTGCTTTCTGTGTGGCTGTTTTTCCATCCATGGTGTTGATCTAGACTGAAAACACAGACTTTTCTGTTTGGTGGTCAAAGTATAAGTGAAATTTCTAGATTGGATCCTTCCAACTCTGTTGTTCTGTTGTTCTATTATTCTGTTATTCTGTTATTTGTTTTGATTGGGAATTTCCAGCCTATAGGGCTAATCCTAAACTCAAAAGATCATCCTATAATCTCATGATAAAAATCCAGTCTTCTCCTAAGCTCTGTCTTTCCATAATATCCCATTGCTTTCAACACCTGTTCCTTTTTTCAATTCTTAACCTTCCATCTCCTAAGCTTAAGCCAGGAGTCTTCAAACTTGGCCCTTTTATGACTTGTGGACTCCCAGAATTCCTCAGCCAGTGTGCCTGGCTGAGGAATTCTGGGAGGTGAAGTCCACAAGTCATAAAAGGGCCAAGTTTGAAGACCCTTGGCTTAAGTCAGGCATGTCAAACTCATGACGTCATGTGACATCGCACGACGTATCGGGACTTTTTCCCCATTACTGGCAATGGGGTGGACGCGGTTTCAGCATGACACAACCGGCCCACCAACCATCAGTTTGACCTGCCTGGCTTAAGTGATATTAGTCCACATACAGAACCATGTTGTAACTTTAAAGTGGAAGGCGAGATAATCAATTGTTTGTAATTGCTATAAAGAAGATTGAAAGCTGCTCCTTTATATATCTTTTTTGTTTCTGTTCTCTTTGCTTTTTCCCCCCAGCACTATCTTTTCTACTTCTTTATCTTTCTTTATTAATTCCACTTTATATCATTTCATGTTTCCCTTTTACTTATGTGAAAAAGTTATTTTTAAAAGGTACCAATATGCATATTGTCCTATTGTTCAACAGGTTTATTTTAAGTACTAAATCAGGAAGTACTTTAAGTACTTTAAATATTTCAAGTACTAAATCATGGCTTCTAATCTAAAACAATTGTCTTGAAAGCTCTATTTGGTGACCAGACAGTGTTTCAGAACAATAACAAGGAATTACACAGAGAAAATTATATACATGAATTGACAGCAAATTAAAATCTCTATATTACAGATGAATAGCTGAGTTCTTTTCCATGACTGTATGCAGGTTTTAAGAGTGACCCTCTCCATTCCCACCACAAATTGCTCCTAATTTATAACTATTAATGTGAAGAAGGTGCTAAATAATTAAGTATACTAGCTATGTTAAAATCAACACTAATTCAAAGTAAGTGAGATAGGGCCACATTTTGTGCAGCAAAGCCCCAGCTCACAACTCAAAGGCTAGCTATGGTCCTCGGCTTGCCTACCCCAGGCTGAGTATTGCTTGCGCTAGTTGATTAAAATAGCATCTTTTTATACCGGCCACTGGAATGTAGCATGATGTCACTGAAGAGTGAGGTAGGGTGGGGTGAGATGGGGTGGAATGGAAAGGAAAGAAAGAACGAAGGAAGGAAGGAAGGAAGGAAGGATACACAATGCTAATGAACTCTTTGCAACCTTAGACAGCAGATCAATCATGGTGAATCTTGAGAATTACATTTATATCTTCCCAGCCTACATGTATATTTTCCCAATCTGAACTTTGCAAAAAACTAGTAGGATAGGGTTTAAGGCATTAGGAGCGTGGGGTCATCAACTGTCTGTCCACCAATACTATGGATTATTGCCTGGCTGACCTTGGAAGCGAAGTAGGGTCAACCCTAATGAGAGACCACTAAGGAACCACAGAGATGAAGGCAACACCAGGAAGTTGAAAAAACTATCCTGGCAAAGACAGTGACAGACCATTTCTACACTGCTGCTAAGAAGGCTCCATGAACATGTCTCTTAAGTCACACGGAGCCAAATTTAATTTGAAGGAAACTTTAAGATGCATGTATAGATTTGAAGCTTGATAGCCCAATCCTACATCTATCTCCTGAAGAAAAACTATATAAAATGCTGACCTCAGTTCTGAAATAAAAGTGGATTACAGAATGGACTACAAGAATTCCTGTTTAAATCAGAATTCCATAATTTTGTAGTGTCATCATCATTAAAAACATTCTCATACCCCTTTTTATAACCATCCAACAGCCAAAGTTCAGTGGGACTTACTTTTTCATAAAATTGAGCAAAAGAAGCTGTCCATGAACACACCTCAGTATTGGATTCCCAAGATGAAAAGTAACGCAAATCCCAGTTAGATCCTCCTTTTCATCAAGTCCCTGTGTTACCTAATCCTGGATTAATTTTATGAGTCTCTCTCTCTCCACCCAGACAATCCCAATGTTTATCTCTTCTGTAAATTCCACGTGGATATGGAAAGGTCCAACCTTCCATCTTGGGGCCCTGAGCCAATGACCACATCAGATTAACAAGTATTTAATGTGGCTAACATCAAACAATATGCAAACGACATGGAATGTGTTTGGGGCAACCTTGGTTGTTAAACACAGCCTCCACTTTGTGTTTTATCTCTGGCTGACGATCCACCTTCTAGAGAATCTGACCTCCTTAGATAAAGGCAAAACATTTTTGTCAAGTTTCGGGCTCCTCCCAAGTCTTCTGAGTTACAGAGACATGTTATTCTGTTTCTGCTCCCATAAGAACACCTGGGAGGAAAATTGCTTTGGTTAAATGTTGGTAAAGGTGGAGCAGATGACCTCAAAAAAAAGATAAGGCCTCCTTCACTAGAGATGATAGAATTAATGCCGAGCTAAAGACTACCCCCTCTGTTTCTAAAAATTTCTCTTCCCCCTTGGGACTGGTTTCCTTACCTTAAGTCTTAGGAAATTCAGATTTATCTTGATGGTGTTTCAGAGCTTGTTGCTGGAGGTGTCAGAAGGCTGTTTTCCATTACTCATGTGTCCATTGCTCAGAAGCTTTGAGGGTTGGACTTGCTGATCTTACGGTCCTTTGCACCTCTACGATTCAGTAACTC